ATCGCTCTGAAATTTTGTGACACAATGCATAATGGCAAGAACTTTTTTGACTGTGGAATAGTTTTGTTGGGTAGAATTCCAGACCTTAGAAGTATACCTGAGTAGTGGTTCATGATTGTCAACCTATTGTTTTAAGATTCCTCCTAAACCTAACTCTGAAGTATCGCATTCAATGATTTTAAAAGTAGTAGGGTTAGGAAGAGAAAGGCAAGGTAAAGTTTTAACTTTTGTTTTAATCAATTGGATTGCCTTAGTGTGAATATTTGTCCAAGGTGGAGGATTCTTTTTTAGACGATCATGTAAGGGTTTGGCATCAATAGCAAGGTCTTGATAAAAATCAATAACATAATTCAGACAACCTAAAAATCTCTGAAGTTCTTTTTTATCTAAGATTTGATCGGGAAATTTATCACCAAATTGGATTGATTGGTCGATAGGAAAATATTGTGTCCTAAAAATCTAATAGTAGTTTTGAACAAATTAATCTTTTTAGCAGATACTGCTAATCCAGCATGTTTAATTGTATTAATAAAAGTATGAATATGTTTAAAGTGTTCTTCTATTGATTCTGAAAAGATAAGAACATCATCAATATAAACAATCATAAATTGACAGTAAGCGTTGAAAATATCATTCATTATTTTTTGAAATTCTGATGGAGCATTTTTTAATCAAAAAGGCATAACATTCCATTCATATTGGCCAAATGGGACATTGAATGCTGTTTTATATTTATCTTCTTCGTTAATTTGAATTTGCCAGTATCCTAACTTCATATCAAATTTTGAAAATATACAAGCATTTGCTACTCTGTCTAATAAATCTTTTTTATTAGGAATAAGATATCTTATCCATTGTAATACTTTATTCAATGGTTTATAATATATAACAAGTCTAGGAACTCTCCGTTCTTTTTCTGCATTTTTATTGACATAAAAAGCTGCACAATTCCATAGTGATAGACTAGGTCTAATAAGTTTTTTATTTTGGAGTTCAACAATTTCTTTTCTACATAATTTTAATAAAATAATATTCATTTGAAATTTGTCTTTCATCAAATCCAGGTTCATATGGAAGACTTATACTATGCTTTTTCTTATCCCAAAAAGCATTGAGATGTTCGCTACAAATAGAAGTTTCTATCTGATGTTGAAGTTCTTGAATTTTTTGTAATATCAAGGGATTTTGTAATTGTTCTTCTACATGTTTATATTTAATTTCTTGTTTTAAAGTACAGAGAAATTTTTTTTTATTGGTTAGTTGGCTTTTCATATTGTTGATTTCGTTCATTTTTAGTTTATTAATGAATTCAAAATATATAGGGACATTTTGGTAAGTTGATGTTATTCCTGTATGATCTATGGATAGAGGATATAATAATGTAAAGAATGGGACTCCTAAGATAACTGTCTGGCTTAGACCTTTTACCATAATAAAAGGTGTTTTGATGCACTGTTGGTTATTACAAACAGAAGCATCTGATAATTTATAATTAATAAAGAGTCTACTGCCATCTGCAGTATTTAATATTTGAGTTGTTTTAGCAAAATACTTTGTTGGTACTAGTCCTTCATTTATACAATTTAAATCAGCTCCGGAGTCAATTAAAGCAGATGTTTGAAATTTATAATCTTCTGCCACTATAATGGTTACTTGTACAAACCATTTTTGTATGATGATTTTATCCAGAAGGTTAACAGAAGGAGGGTTGTCATTTGTCTGAAGTGGTTTAGTTTCTGAAGATTCGAGAGTATCGGTTGATATTTCTTTTTTGGGAGAGAAAGGAGCATATGTTGTAACTAAGTGGTTGAACTCTAGTTCATCTGTATCAGAATTTTGATTGGATAGATTTTGTAATTCTAAAATTTTTATTCTATTTTTTAATTGGTGTACTTTTTTCTTTACTTCATTTATTTCTTGTTTTAGCTCAGAAATAGAAGGTTCTTTTTAGACAGTGAGATGTTGTTCACTGACCCTTTTCATAATAGCTGCGAAATTATATTCATCTGGTGTTTTTACTAGAGGAGGTGGTTTTGGTTTAATTTTGGTTAGATTAATAAATTTTGTAATAACAGATCTTTTTTCATCTGGATCTGTAATTTTTTCAATAAGATCTAAAATCAAATTATCTTATTGTGTTAGGGTATGAAGATTGTGCATTGGGATTGGACAAGCACAATTTGATTCTTGCATAGGATTACAAGATTGTTCAGAGGAGTCTGAAGAGGAATCTAAAGAATCTGTCCATTCAAAATCATCTTCTTGTATATTTCCTATTAGAGATTCACTTGAATTTGTACTCAACGAAGATGT